TGCCTTCTTCAAGTCTCTTGTTGTGACGTTAATCTCTGAGCCAGGGTATTCCTGTGATTTATGATCTTGGCCAGAGACGGCTGCAGGGGCTTTCCCTAGGCACTCCTCCCCAAACGGCTCTTACCCACAGGGAGCCAACGCGAGGGCTGTGACAGAGCCCAGCCCTGCAGTGTGGACTTTGGCCCAAACTCCAGAACTTGGGAGACAGGTTCCGCTTCCACTAGCAGAGCAGGAGACTGCTTTGGGTCCCCTGGTGTTGGCATTTGGACCTCAGACAGGTCTGACAGAAGTCTAGATTTTCACTTTCTCAGTACACCCCAGCTAAGAGTCCCGCACCCTTTGTGGAAAGACTGCGGAAGTGTTTATACACTTGCCGTGGCATCCAAGGCTTTCTTCAAAGACAGCCGTCTTCCCCATCAATCCGTAGCTGTGAGTCTGTGAACAAATGTCAGTCTAGAAACTGCGTGAGGGCCACTGATGCTCTCTCTCCCTGGCTGAAGTCAGCCTTCTGTTCCTCAGTGGAAATTTATTAGAGAAGTCAAGCAACGTCAGTCATCGGTGTGTCTCGCCCCTGTGAGCGCCGTGACCTATGAGTCCTGGCCACAGACCCTCGCATCCAGCCACTGTGATCATCTGCTCAGCTTTGCTTGACTGCACAGTGGAATAGAGATGCCACCCGGCCCTGCTCTGCCCAAGTCCCTTCATCCCCCTGGTGCCCTGGCACCCCCACCCATCAACCCTGGCCTACCACAAGCAGCCACATCAAAGTTCTCCTCGCAGCGCCCCCTCGTGGTGTGTTTGTTACTGCCTCTGTGATGCAGTGCGTGCAGAGCCCTCCCTGGGGCTGTTGCCTGGAGGTAGGTTGTCAGGGTGAAATACCTAAAATGGTTCTGAATCGAGGAGATTGTGGTAATGAAGATGACATTGGTTTTTTTTAAATTATTTTCTTAATTTTATTTTATTCATTCATTTATTTTTTAAATTGACCAGAGAGACACACAGAGAGAAAGAATAAGAGAGAGAAAGTGAGAAAGCAAGCCACCAGGTCTGGGACTCGAACCGTGGTCAGCCATGTGGGAGTGTCCAGCACCTTAACTAGGTCTTCCATGTTGCGCCCTCTCTCCCAGCACACACTTCCCAGGGTCCTTGGTCCTCTTCCCCAGCGCTATGCCCAGCGGGTTCCAGCATCTCACTGCGTTGCCCTAGGCCATCGCTGTAGCCGAGGCTTCAGGAGCCGTTTTGGCCGACTGCTGGTGCTGTTCAGGGTGTCTCCACCAGAACGTTGCTCCTGAGCCTCAGACGAGTGTCCCTGTGGCAGTGACCTCTCCACCATCAGAGGGAGCTCCTGGGGTGCAAATAGGTGCTGGCTACTGGTATTGCTTCCTGATGTCATTAAGCCATCACCTGGTACCTGCTACATGTGTGCATGCTATGCCTGAGTAAAAGTTTACTTTTTAAAAATCAGTGTGAGGGGCCGTCTGGTGGTTGGGTGGCTGGATCTCACAGGGCCAACTGCACAGTTCAGGTCGTGGACCCAGTGGCTTGAAAACCATGCTGGGCAGGTGTGTGTGCATATCCGAAATCCCAAAAGGAGAAGGGGAGGAGAAGGGTTTTCAGTGCGACTGTTCCCCATGGCGGGGGGAGGGAGGTGCTTTCTTACCTTCTCCTCCTCTCTCTGTCTCCAGTGTGCACACTCCCTCTTCCAAATTAATAAACAAAACAAAACAAAAAGAGTCTGAGAAACAAAAGAAGAGCAGGAGAAGAAAATTAAAGATCTGTGTAATTAGGAGTTTGACGAGAGGGCTAAGGTGGATTGCCTCTTAGAAAGACCCCCCCACAATAAAACAGGGAAGGCTGTGGACAGAGACCAGGGAATGAATATGGAGGTGGTGATGTCAGATTGCTGGAACTTTGTAACGCTCTGATAAGGATTAATGAAACAGCCTAGGACTTACTGCCTTCTGGCGCAAACTGCCTGGATTCACATCACCCCAGTGCCACTAACCAGCTGCAGCTTTGGCAAGTTATCAAGATTATCCTTTTTGGAAAAATGGAGGTGATAATGGGCTGGTTAGGAACAGAAAAGGTGATGCAGATGGAGCCCCATGCACAGACCGGCACAGCTCTTCTCCCCACTGCCTCCCCGCTACCTCACCACCCTGCAGCCCCTCTCTGGCTGCATCTGCGCAGGCCACTGCCCTGACCCAGGCTCCTCTTTTGGGTCTGCAGAACGAGGATGAGACCGTGTCATTTCCGGGCTTCCACGCAGGGCCTCGGGAGCAGGGCCTGATCCCACGAACAGCACTGACTGCTGTACTCCCACCTCTGCTTCCCCGAAGGTGTTAGAGGGACACTGTGCCGTGTGTGGGGACGTGACGCTGGCAGCAAGAATTGCAGACCGGGGAACTGCATTCCACTCAGTGGCACGCGAGGAGAAAGGGGGAGGGACAAATTGAGGAACTGGCGGAATTGCTGCCATCCGAGGAGAACATGCGGGCCAGGAACACGTGTGGCACAAGTTCCTAAGAGCCAGGGCCTTTGTCTGGTGGCGTCCCTCTATTTCATCAAGGCCACGGTGCAGGCTCCCGTAATGCTGGCTTTCATTATTTGTGGTGAGTTCTTACTCATCCGGAAATAAGCATGGCCTCGCAGACAGGCGCTGTATGGGGTGCAGGGCGTCGGGCAGCACGTGAGGCCTAGCCCGCCCCGAAGCACTTGTGACGGGGCTGACAGTATGTGCTGGGTAATCACCCCATGAAGTGATAAGGCATCTAACAGGTCTGCGCACAGTTCTGGGGTGGCCTAGACACTGGCCCCCAGCTCTGTGGGTGCAGAGTGGAGGACAAGCTGAGGAGGGGAGGGTTATTCCACAGAAGGGCAGCCTTCAGAGATGGGGCATTAACCAGGGCCAGTACCCACGGTGTTGCGGACACAATGCTGGGTGTGTTAACACATCATTTTCATTTGACCTTATCGTATGATTTGTTGCTTCCACTTTATGGATGAATTAATGGTGAAGAGAGGTTACCCGATTTGATGATGGCTACAAGCTAGCAATTGAAATAGCAGATGTTTGTCACCACGAGGTCTGACTGGAGGGCTCATTCTCCCACTCTGGGCCATGTGTCTTCTCTGGAGTGAAGGACAGTCATCCATCCTGAAAAGTTACACCCTAGCATGGTGGGGTCGGAGTCAGGGGTGGGGGATTATCAGCTGGAGCAAGAAAGTGGCATTATCTAAGGAGACTGAGCAGCCTGTGTGAAGTCTGGGAGGCCCAAGAGCAGCTGGTGGGGAGCCAAGGGTGGGCATATGGGGCCTACAGAAGCTGAGGCCAGAAAGGAAGATGAGAGTTAAGGGTCGAGGGAAGCCAGTGAAGGGTCTGAACGGAAGGTCGTGGCCAGCTTCCAGCAGTAGGCTCTCGCTTTGATGTGCACATGAATGACAAAAGGGAAAGGAGGTATGAGGAGGGGCAGGTAGGGCCGTGGTGTTAGGAGACTGGCCTGTTGTCAAGGGACTCAGACCTGGTCGAAGCTCTCCTCCTACGTCCCGGATTTAGGGAGTTGGAGAGGTTTTTAAAGATTTTTTTTTTTCTTCAAATGTTCTGGCATTTCCTTCTTTAGAATAAATACCTTCCTTGTTAAGTTGCTTTAAATTAGAAACCAAGGTTTCTTCTCCTTGTCATCTTCTATTTTTAAACTCTCCATTCTCGTGAGTGTAGTTTTTATTCCCAGGCACAGCCTTCTTTTTCTGGAAGTCCAAATTTGCCCAGAGCCTCCTGGTCCTTGGTAGCACAGAGGTGTCAGGTTCGCGCTCTGTCTCATCCGGGTCTCATTCCCACACTCGCCATCCTCCTTACGCAGATCCCAGTTACTGCCCACCTCCCTGGGTCTCCCGGTTGACCTTTCTGTGTTGTTATTTTCCTGTCTAGGAATTTCCATCTTTTTTGAGAGTCGGTGTCTAAGACTGGTTTCACCTTCTGGCCTGCGCTCGTTAGACACATGGCCAGGAGAGAAAGGTGGCATCTTCCTTCTAGATCCCTGAGGTGTCTGTGCAGCTGCCATAGCTCCTAATTAAGCTGGGGCTGAAACAGGCTGTCTTTGTGTCGCTCCCTGTCACCCTGGCGAACATGCTGTCCTTGGCACAGCTCCCTCCGACCCCACACTCTCCTCGGACACTGCTGGGTGATGCCGTCTTTTGATGCTCTCTGTGTACACAGACACGGTCACCGTCACCCAGGCCACCCCGGCTGACCTGCCTTCCACCCGCAGGGTTGCCAGTCACTCAGTGGCAGAGAGGAAACCTCCGAGAATGTTAAACAATCACTTTTCTAAAATTGAGACTCCGTGACAAAGACAAGCCTTGACTTGTGTGTTTTCCTGCTG